CTCCCTCCTCTGCGACCTCTATTGGCAGAGAAGGTTGCAGTGGAGGGAGCTGTGACTGCAACACCTCCCACGTCACATCCCTCGTTTTCTGTATAGTCCTAGCCCTCGTAAGTACTCTATGACAATCACGCGGGTGGTCTCTCGAAGGACCGACATAAAAGCAACTCTCACCCTTCGGCAGCAGCTTTGTCGGTCGCTGCCACCTGCAGTACGCTGGCTTCAAAAACGGATACGGTCTAGCGGGACGAGGTTCACCATACCACATTTCATACGGCGACATAGAGTCGGGGTTAGCAGAACACGCGGTGTGATTCATCGCTTCGCAAGCCCAGTGCATAGCCTCAGCCCAGAGTTTATCAGTCTTAGGTAACTGCACATGCCCAAAAAGAACTTTAGCCTGAATACGAGCCGCCATCGCGGCCTCTTCTATCAATCCCAGCCCACGCTCTGCAACACCATTATATTGCGGACTATAAGCCGGTGTGAACTCTTGTTTGATCAAGAGCTCATTGCACACAGATGCAAACTCCCCCCCGAAAAACTCCCCTCCGTTGTCAGATCTAACAATCTCAACGAATGACGGGACAATATTAGCACGCACACTCGCAAGAAAAGTCCGGAATGCACCACCAGCGTCTGATTCATTTTTCAGGAAATACATCCATGTACGTCTCGTGAAATCATCCTTCACAATCATGGGATAATGTTTACCCCCTACGGACGCAATGTCCTTCCTTCCTCCCAGGTCAACAAAAACTCTGCCCAACTTTTTATCCGATCTACGTTTAGTTTCTCTAACGATTCCTTTTCGAATAGCCTTTGACATCGAACACCCTGAACAAGCATGCATGTCACCAACCAACTTGGTACCTAGTCGCTTTGCAGTAGTGCGAAGCAAACCCTCGTGCGAATGAGCGTAAATGTTGTGGAACTCGTTGATATCCATCGTGGTTTCATGCTTGGGGTTTGCGGGAGTGAGAGCAGCCAACACCGTGCCAACAGAGGCTTCTCCTAGACGATACGCAGACGCAATCAGCATGCCATCGAAGTTCTGAAAGGTTACTTGTCCATTGAAAGCAGTCATCACACCATCAGGACCACCAGGACCATTCCATGACTCGCCATCAAACTCTGCACTCGGAGAAAAGATATTATACCCTAAGTTTTGAGAGTACAACACATTCTTCAACTCCACGGAAAATTCACTGTCAGCAGTCACAAACACCAACTCCAGCGTTCCAGAGAATGCTACCTCACAAGACACGCTACCAATCCCATTCACACTTTTGTGGCAAGGCTTCAAGTCTTTCATGCAAGAGAGGGAATCAGTCATGTGAAAAGCAGTGCCGGTGTCAGCATACCAATCCTCGACATATCTAGACTTGTTGACAGCTTTCAGGATCATATCATCGCTGACAGCCCTCATAACCAAATCATCCCGCGACGTCATTAGACACTTCAGACCGGAAACATCATACATCATGCTGCTCAGCTGGTCAAACGCTGATAGGATCACTAGTTCGCTGTAGGCAATAAACAAGTCATCGTCATCGCCGTATTTGAGGTACTCTGGGATGTCAGCAACTAGACACATCAGATCGCGAAAGTCAAATTTCTCACCGCTCTCACCCTCGTCGGCCTCGGATTTTCCAGTCTGGGAGGGATGAGGGATGATGCGAGCCTTGCAGTCGATCTTCATGTGACCCTTCTCCCCACACTTGAAACACTTCCCCTGAAATGACTTCTTCTGGGATGAATCAGACTCAGAGTTAGACTTCGGCTTGTTGTGTTGTTTCTTGATGCTACCCTTCTTCCTCTCAGGCCTAGACACTAGAGCAACACTACTCTGCTTCTTGGAACCACCCTGTGCTAGCAAGTCCAGGTAACGCTCACGCACTTAAGTCTCGATGAACGACGGGTCATTCTAACAGAACACCACAAGAGTCTCACGCAAAGTCTTGTACTCGAGCGACAGCCCCTCAAGCATCAGATTGCACACCTCTCTGTCATCCTTCTTTACTTCAAGCATCTGCAGCACACCAAGCGTCTCTCTGATGGATGCAAAGAAGGTTGCGGGATTTCCGTTGGAA